GAGGGTTCTCTCTGGGTACCACTTCCACCGGACCCTGCAGACACAGGGAGAAGATGGATGATAATATCTAATATTTTGATATATAATTTTATGAAATGCATGCTCTTCTGGAAATGATTTAACTTATTTACAAAATGCCAAGAAAGGTTTGATAAAAGAGGCAAATATTCTTACTTTACTAAAGATCAAACCTTAAAAATGCAAGAAAATCTGCAAAAATAAATAGAAAGCTGAGTCCTTTAGTATTTCCTGGGTCATTCAGTTATTCCATCCAAATCCTAAAGGATATTAAACTAATTGTTTACTCCTCAAATATGAGTTGAAATCCTTATCATGAATGTCTAGGATTTATAGATTATATTTTAATTTCTATGGATAATAAAGTTTTACTTATCTTATCTCTCAATCTAAATAATTGCCATTAAATGAGCCTAAAGGACTGATTCTCAGTTACTAATGTTTCTGCCATGATTTTACCTAAAACACACGAAACACATCAGTTTGGTTCTATGCATTTAGCACTAAACACTCTAGAAGTTGCATCACCATAAATGGGATATTTTTTTTAATTGATTAGTTATTGGATGTGTAAAATCTCTGCATCATAATGTAGGACGGTTTAAACTAGAATCCTTTATATGGCAGATAAATTATATCAAAAAGAGGAACTAAGGAAGAGCTGCATCTTAATGCTGTAGAACACAGAGTTCTTTATCTATTTATTTTTGGTCTGTGCTCTGAGTTCTCCACAGAGACAACACCAAGCCCACATAACCCATGTTTGATGAAAACAGCTTTTCTAGACCCTTAAAAAACAAAGAACATGCATGAAAACATTATGATTTAATGCAGTTATGGAGCTTCTGCTGTGACCTAAAAAGCAACGGCTTCAGCATCCAGCAGCTTCCTTCTCCAGATGGACTATTTCACTCTCTACAGCTACATTTATGGTTCCAGGAAAACAGAGGAAGTACATATTAAATATAATAGAGGAGATTTTTTTAGACTGATTTTTTAGAGAGATATTTAGAAATATTCCCAAACTAAATCACTTCAGATTAGTTGTTTTGAACTGATTGGACATAAATTGTTCAATATTTGTTGATTTATTTCTCTCTGTGTTTTATAGCTACGTTTAAACAGCCTGTCTGTGCATAAAGCTCAACGATTTGTTTGTTATTTTGACCTTTGAACTGTTGCTTTCAGTCTGCTGAAGTTTGTCTCCAAGATTTTCCAATTTCTTCCCTTTAGGATTTTGCTTTTTTTTTGGTGTTTCATGTTTTTGCGTCTCTGTTTTCTTCGCTCGTTCATGTTTTGGCCGTTAGCTTCCTCAGTAGCAGCACTGCTGAACAGAGAAGTTTTTCCTTCTCATAGAGACGTTGTTGTATCATTATCCTTTGATTACGTTAATATGTTATAATGCACCCCCCCACACACACACACACAGCTCAGTATAGATCAGATTTAGCATTTTCTGTTTCTACATGACATCATCATGCATCCATAATGGTTTCGTTGATCATCATCAATGCTTCCTGTTCTGCAGCTTGAATTTGTTTCCCTCACTTTGAGCTTTTCATTTCCTGTCACCCCCCCCCCCCCCCGCCTTCCTACATTTCAGTCCCTGATGACCAAATCATGACAGTTTATCAAATTAATTGCTACCAAATGCTAATTATGACCCATATTTTCACTTTTTCCAGATTTTACCGTGATCAGTTAGTAGCTGATGTGCTGCATGTTAAGGAATGAGGACAAAATTCTCTTACTGAGGGCAAATAGCAATAAAAACCGATTTCAAAAGAACAAACCCCTAACAGAGACTGGTATTCCTAGATTAGTGCTATCAGTGTGTTCTGTATGGATGGGATAAAAAGGCAGATTTTTATGGTTCTTTCAAAATTGATAAGTACTTTGCTTGTTAATTGTGTTCTCCATTAGCTCATGTACTCCTAATGAGCATCGCTGGAAAAATGCTGCTATTTTTACAGGCTCATTAACAAAATAACAGAACAATCAATGAAGATGGATTCCTTCACAGCATCCATGCTGCCCTTTTCCTGTCTGCTCGCTATTATTCACGCTGGAATATGTTTTGCATCTGTTTGTGGGAATATCATTCTGTGCAGCAGTGTCAATGAGCACTGCTTTATGTAGAATTATGGCGTTTAGGAGGAGGAGGAGGAGGAGGAGGAGGAGGAGGAGGAGGAGGAGGAGGAGGAGGAGGACCTGTGGTTGGCAGAGTGGCCTTCAGGCAGTAGGGATTGAGGAAATGTCCGTCAGTTTAAAACTCCTCGATCTGGACTTTAAGAACTGAATATGACTCAAAGGATGTTTCAATGAGAACCTTAGGATTGACAGACGGGAAACTGCTGCTTTAATTCTTCGCCTATTGATCCAAAGCTGTTTGCCTTTCATGAAGCAACAGTGAAAACAAACCTGAGAAGCTGGTAAAAACTGTCAGGAATAAACTCACAAACTGACAAATCAAATAATGAAAAACATAGTTTTGTTGTGAAAGTAAATTATTCAGGATCAACTTGAGAAATGCTGAAAAATCAGCAGGTTTTCAGGTTCAGGTTCTCTCCAGACGTGTGTGCGACCTTAAATAAATGCTAGTAAATGTGATGGGATCGATTTGGATTATTGTCAGTCCAGACGGTGAAAGTATGCCCTTTTAGCCAGTGACTGAATTTATGACAAACAGCCCACTTCAACGCCAGAAACTCAAGGCGATGAGCAGGGTAGTTACTCTGGGCGCGTGTTAGAGCTTTACTGGCGAAGGCAATGGGTCGTGCTCTACTCTCACCTTCTTGGACCTGTGACAAAACCGCCCCCAACCCATCCTGTGAGGCATCTGTAGACAGAATGAAAGGGCGACTGAAATCAGGATGTGCGAGCACCACAGTCTCCAGCAGCGCATTCTTTAGTTCTTCAAATGCACAGTGATGTTCTCCTCTCCAGTCACTTGGATGTAATTTCTTAAATGCTGCTGCGCCCCGTCCATTGACTTTCCTTCCCTTGGGTGCGGCAGTCAAAGTGAACAATGGTTTTGCAATGCGGGAACAGTCTGGTATGAACTGCTGGTAGTACATCACCATCCCCAAAAATGACTTAATCTTTTTTTGTGAGGGTGTAACACCATCCTCCATCATCAAATCAGACTCAGTCATAGCAACAACAGCTTGTACTTTTTCAGGATCAGTTGACACACCTTTTTCACTCACAACATGGCCCAAAAACTTCACACTCTTTCTTAATAGATGGCATTTCTTGGGGGCTAGTTTCAAGCCATGGACCTGCAGCCTGTGGAAGACAATCTCGAGCCTCCTCAGAGCTTCTGCCTCATCGGGAGCATAAACAAGCAAATCGTCCAAATAACAAAGCAGGGTCAAAAAGTTCTGATCCCCAAAGATGTTCATCATGAGGCGCATGAAGTTGGCAGGACTATTACAGAGGCCCTGAGGCAGCCTGTTAAACTCATACAACCCCATGGGTGTGGTGAAGGCTGTTAGTTTTTTATCATCTTCAGCCATGGCTATGTTATAAAAACCAGAAGTGAGGTCCATGGCACAGAATATGGCACTGCCACCCAAAGCCGTCAAACAGTCTGACTGGTGTGGCAACGGGTGAGCGTCCTTAACTGTACGAGCATTTAGCCAACGATAGTCCACACAGATCCTAAGATCTCCATTCCTCTTCCAGACCAGCACTACAGGAGACGCCCACTCACTGTTAGATTTGCGAATGATTTCCCGTTCTTCCATCTCTGTGAGAACTTGTCGCAGCTTGTGGTACTGCCCTGGTGGAACACGTCGATATGGAAGCCTAAATGGTCGATTATCTGAGAGGCGGATGCGGTGGACAAAATCTTTGGCCAGCCCACAATCAAGTTTGCTTCTTGAAAAAATGCCTTCATATTTCTGGACCAACTGCAACAGTTTTGACTTCCAGTAATCACCCACCTCACAAGAGTCAATGTCCAGATCTTCTAACCCCAAGTTACTCAGAGTGTCACGGAAGCTGGTGCAGAGAGAATCTGAGCTGATTGTTTTGTCATCTTTCACTGTCTGATTGTTGGTACTGAATTTTTTATCTAGCACCTGCTCAGGGATCACATCCATATCTTCAAGGGCTATACAGGTGGACACCTCCGCTACTTTGGTATGGCGTTTTAATATGATGGCCTTATCAGAGGTGTTTAGAATGCGCACTGGGACCCACCTATCACCATTCATGGAGGACACTGATCTACAGACAATAATGTCTTTTTTATGCATCTGTGTTTTGGGTGATGGTTCAACTAGAATGGCACTGCCCTCGGAGAGAGGCGAGTTTTTAGGGAGTCTGCTCCAAATCAAATGTTCTTGCTTTGGGAGAAGAGTGACTGCCTGCACCAGTTCAGCTGTCCCAATAAAATCTGGGATCACATCACCTCTCCATCTTTCAGTGCCAGACAGCATACTAAGAAACTTTATGACTTCTGGTGTTTGGGCAGACTCTGGTTTACTCATAACTTGCCAAAAGTGAGGAGAATGTTTGAACTGGTTTAGGAGGTGTTTGATGACATTTGTGCCCAAAATCAGCTGATCTTTCTGCCCAGGCACCACTAAAGCTGGAACAATAAATGAACATCCATATACTTCCATTTTTAATTCATGGATGCATTTGGGCTTTACTTGAACTCCTCCACAGCCTACAAGAATAATGTCATTACGATCACAATCAGGCTGGGATGTAAGCCCTGCATTCTCAAGAAGTTGCTCAGCTTCTACGCTGATAGTGCAGGCCATGGAGCCAGTGTCTAAAAGAGCTTGCAATGACACTTTATCCCCAACCTGTGCATCAGTGTAAAAGAGGCTGTCAGCCTTTTCTAGTCTGGATATGTTTTGAAACAACACATGGGTGTTGGCTGGAGCAGATTTCAAACTTTCTGTATACACAACCTTTATGTCTTCTGTTGGGGTGAGGGACTCATCATACTCACTCACACAGTGCCCTCTCAAGTGTGAGTGGTTTAGTTTCCCTGGTCAATAGAGCCTCCAACTCGCTGAGTGTTAGGGAATTTTGGACAGCTTCTTCGCTGATGTCCAATCTCGAGACAGGCCAGGCATCTTCTCTCTCTCATGCAGTGTGTCCGTGTAGAGTGGTTACTGTTGCCACATACTTGACATGGAGTCGGTCGACTGGAAGGGAAGAACTGAGGCTGAGTATCGCCAACAGGCTGGGCAGTGCGTTCTAATACTCTTTCAAGCATAGTTAACATCCGTTCAAGAGCACCTGACTCTGCGGTGCGATCATTTGGGCTGGTAGAACTGATAGGAGTAATTTTGGCAGTGTTCATTTGCCTACATTCTACTTCAAGCTCTGAGTGGTCAGGTGCTGCTACTGCAGTGGCAATCTGGAGTGTTTTTGCTTTTGGGGCAGTTGCGTGTGGTCTCTTCACTTGCTGCTCTCGTTGATGCTCATCAATGGCCTCTTGCACCTCAGTGAATGTCCACTTAGTGGTGGGCTTACACTTGAAAACACAGGCGAGACTAGAATCAGGACAATTTCTGATGAACATCATTGCTATCTCTGTATCCATTTTATTCAGGCTGCTTCCTTGATCTTTCAAGTGTTTGTCAGCGTTTTCAGCAGCTGTGTTAAGTCTAACCCAGTAGTCTACTGGTGTCTCATTAGCCATCGGCTGAGTAGCATAAAAATCAGCCAGTGGTAAGCAAGATCCAGGAATGTCGCTAAAATAGTGCCTCAGAATGCTATAAACTGCCTCAGGGTTTACAGGTGTGGTGGAAGGAGCACTCTTTAATCCGATCTTAACAATGCTTTTTGCCTTGCCAAGCAGGTGGTTCAGGATTTCATCAGTTTTTTCCTCAGCTGGGAATCCCTTTTTGCGCAGGTAGACCTCCATTATTTCTATCCACTCATGAACAGAGGTCCTATCATCACCATCACCACGATAGATAGGAGGCTCTTTAATGTCTGATTTCACCACCAGGCTCATTTTTGAGAGATCAAACACTGTGTTAGATGTTTCACTCCGTGCAGACTGTGATGGTGGAGGCTTCTCTGGAGTAACATGAGATCCGCTGTCTAACAGACGGCTGGTAATGGCCTCACCTATTTGGCTCCCTATCTCACCAATGAGGTCGCGTAACTGTCGTATGGTGTTTTCATTATTATTTACAGGGGTGGAAAACTGGGGCTCTAATGGAGGTATTTCAATAATCTCTTCTGTTTCTGATGACCCCTCATCAATCACGTGAGTACTACTCTGGGCTAACAGCCCTCTGCCACGCCCAACTACTGGTGTGAAAACATTAAAGGTACTATGACCTCTGCCTGCCATACTGCACACAGTAAAAAAGCAGTAATAAAAAAAATTAAACCAAAATAGTTTCACTATTCACATACACAAAAAATGGCTTTAATCTAACTAATATAGTGGTTTGATATATGTCTTAAGTCTCTGTGTTCAGAAAAGTGATCGCAACCTCAACAACAATGAGCAGGATCCACAGGCCGACCAACTTGATGACATCAGCGTCACTGGCACACAGCTGAACCCTCGGCGGTCGGCAGCGGCTAACCAATGGATCCGGGTCACGGCACCAGATGTAACAGTCGTGGAATGAAGAGTCGAAGAGATCAGACTTGCTTCGGTTTATTTCTGTTTAGAACAAGAACATATTCAGCACAGCAACTCTGGGCTCCAGTTTCCCACATGCACCTCTCCTCAGCGCAGCTTAGCGCGAACTCAAAATGCATTAAAACAAACCAAAATTCTCACAGAGGTTAAATAATAATAAAATGAATTAATTATAATAATAATAATAAAAATAATATTTCTCATTTATAATAATTAAATGATAATTATGTAAAATCTGCATACAAAACAAAATAAAACCCAAACAAAAATAATCTGCCCAATCATTACAATTCTCCGATATAATATAAAAAATATACTAAATAAATAAATTTGACATCCAAATAACATTTTGAATTACTCACATACCTGTTTAGAACAAGAACATATTCAGCACAGCAACTCTGGGCTCCAGTTTCCCACATGCACCTTAACAAACCAAAATAACAGAAATAACCATGTTGCCACAGTAACCTCAACAAAAGTTACTGCTGTGGGAATGTAACTGCCAGTACTGTGCTGCACAAAACAGCTAATCAACAATATATTTACGAATTATGAGCTAGGAAGAAATACTTTTCAGGATATTAGAACAATTTAATATACAAACAGAAGACCGTTCTATACACTTACCTCTCCTCAGCGCAGCTTAGCGCGAACTGAGGAGGGCAGCGGGGATACAGAGGATATGACACGGACACCGGAAGCGAAAAAAAATAAAAGCTTCTCCTCCAAAATAAAATATCATACAGAACCCAAGAAAAACAAAGAAAAATGAGTTTGAAACATAAATAATTTTAAATAAAAGCAGTATAAAACAGAAATAACGACAAACATGTATATTAATCAAAAAAAGGTGTTTTGAGAAGGTTCATCAAATAAAATAATCTAATTAACTCAGTTACAAGTGCATGGTCCTGTTTCTCTCCCAAATATGTTTCCAAATATGTTTACATGCACCTCAAATCCTGCTCCATTGTCCAGTAATGCACCAATGCCTACTCTGTGTCAAAAAGCTTGCAGATATTTCTGCTTGTCAGTTTGTATCCGACTCTTAAAAGCAGTAAAAAGACACGAAAACCAGGCCAGAGTAAAATTTCCAATTTTGAAAGTATTTTTTGCACGTGGTAAACAGTGCCTGACGTTTACGTCTTTGGCCAACAATAGTTGAACTTCTAAGTAATGCATATTAAAGTGCTGTCTGGTTAATAATCTTATTTATGATTAGGCCTACCTACTGACACCCGAACAGACCTGGAATGACTAGAATTCAGAATATTTCCATTTTTCACTGATTGAGTTTAGTTTCAACCCTTTTTTTTCTTTTTTACATTACATTATTATCAAACTTCGCCTATTGCCCCATCCTCGTCAGGAGGCCAAGCAGTCTTAAAAGTGGGACCAAAAGCACTTGAAAGAAAAACAGGCTAATTTTTTCTGGTGCAGCACATCAACCAAACCAGAACAATGGCGGACATGTTATGTAGAGGTGGAACTAAATTGGAAGAAACTATTATAAAAGGACATACAGCTGCAAAATAACAAGGAAAAGAAAACTTGTTTTAAATGAAAAACTAAGGAAGAAATACATTTAGCAATCTAAGAAAAAAATAAACAAATGTTTTCATTCAACCCAAACAAATGCTCAAAACTTAATTAAGAAAACAGCAAACATGAGACCACACCCCCCTTCAGTTCTCAATGGTGCAGTCCTGTGCTCACCTGCTTGGAGAAGGAAACAGCAGAGGTGAGTTTTTCACTATGAGCTGTTATTTTATCTCTTTAATTCATGTTTCTCAAAAATAATATTGTAAAGTGAAATTAATTTAGCTTTTTACAAAAATGAAAACAAGATGAGGCCAACTTAAAAAAAAACCCCCGCCCCCAAAAAAACCAAAATAAACCAAAGTACAAAACCAGATGCTGAGTTTAACTGGAACCAATATATATAGAGAGCAACGGCTTTTTGTTTTATACATATTAGAAGTTTATTTTCCTTTCTACGAGGTCTGGGTCTGACCATCCTGAACTTTCCATCACCTCCAACTTTGTCTTAAAACTTCTGTTTTTGGATCTTTCTTTAGGTCGTTACAGACGGCAGTAAACTTAAAAAAACAATAGGCCAGAGGATTGGTCAACAAAACGACACTTGTTCCGCCTTGTGTGTTTCCTATTGGCACGTAGATTGACAGTTTCACCTGCCAATCAAAAAGGTTACTCATATTTGGCGTGTGGGCGGGAGCCAATGTCATGCCCTGTTGCTTAATGTTTATATTTGCACATTCTCCACCCATGAATTCATTAGAATATGATCTGCATATTGATGATGGAAAACAAATAGAAATGGTTTCCAAACGCTGTCTGCAAATCATTTTCATCCATCTTTGAAGATCCCTGCACAAGGAAAAAAGTTTGCACTTCTTAAGACATGTAAATTTAATAAGACCAGTGGCTACGTCAGATTCAAGACCAGATTGGCTTCTTAGGTCAGGTTTACCAGTTTGATATCAAAACAAATGTTTATATAATTGAATTGATGAAAGTTGGTAAATTAATATCTGAATTATTCATCTCATTTGAAGAAGGAGGATTTTTTCATACAGTAAAACAGGATAATGGCAGAATGATTTTAAAAGGCTGATTATCTCTAAAACATAATAATCTTTGTCAGTCCTCTGAGGTTTGGTGGATCAAGGAGGTTATCTGGCTTCTACAGCATTGACACTAAATCCTGGAAGTAATGTCTGCATGCATGAATGTTGCTTTATCTCTTTTAAGCACCTAAAGTATGATGCTGTCATCTTCTATCCTATTGAACCTTATGTGGTCAAAGGGTGCCATGCCCGGGGGGGATAACATGATCATAGGTGTTGGATGGGTTACGCACATTTAGAGAGCTAACATGAGAGATTCTGTCTCAGAAAATACAAAAACGGAGATTTATCAGGAATTTGTTATTTTGATCGTCTGTCAGTAACTTCCTCTTCTATGTCGATGACACCTGCTTTTATTTCTCCCCTTACTCATATGACATCCTTCAAACTTCCTTTCTTGCTGGCAGTTTCTGATTAAATAGTGTTTCCTCTGCAGCGTTCTTAGTTTTTATGATAAGAAAACATTCGTGTTGCATGGCAGCACCCAGAGCGACTTCTACAATCTTTCCATTCATATTGGCATTTCCTCCACCTATAGGTGAGCAGTCTGGGGGTCTTTCTTAACAGTATTTCAGTTGGCTCCAGAAACGTCACCTATTCAATGATTGTGCGTCATGGTAGATGGGTGACCAGTCCAGGGTGCACCCCATCTTTGGCTCATGGACTGCTGGAACTGGGAACCAGCCTCAATGTCACAATGACGGATAAATGGGAGAAGATGGATGGACATTGTAATGTAGTGGTAATATAAAGGAGGAGAGCTATAGAACTTAACATTTCCTCTATTGATTAAGAACAATAACTTGCCTTTGATTGTAGATTGGTAAACCATTTTATTCCAGGTCTCCATAATGCAGGGACTAACATTCATACATGAAGATCCTGTCTGACTCAGTATTGTTGAGCTGAGCACAGCCATGAATGTAAACACTGCAGGACCTGTGGTGGAATACTGTAGCGGTTGGCTTTAATGGTGAATAACAAGACAGATACAAGGTGGGCCCTCTGGTGGTGCACACCAGCACTACACTGCTAATATACATACCATGGCTGGTCCTTGGCTGGTCCTTGGCTGGTCCTTGGCTGGTCCTTGGCTGGTCCTTGGCTGGTCCATGGCTGGGCCCTTGGCTGGTCCATGGCTGGGCCCTTGGCTGGTCCATGGCTGGTCCATGGCTGGTCCATGGCTGGTCCATGGCTGGCCCTTGGCTGGTCCATGGCTGGCCCTTGGCTGGTCCATGGCTGGGCCCTTGGCTGGTCCATGGCTGGTCCATGGCTGGGCCCTTGGCTGGTCCATGGCTGGCCCTTGGCTGGTCCTTGGTTGGTCCTTGGCTGGCCCTTGGCTGGTCCATGGCTGGTCCATGGCTGGGCCCTTGGCTGGTCCATGGCTGGCCCTTGGCTGGTCCTTGGTTGGTCCATGGCTGGCCCTTGGCTGGTCCATGGCTGGTCCATGGCTGGGCCCTTGGCTGGTCCATGGCTGGTCCATGGCTGGGCCCTTGGCTGGTCCATGGCTGGCCCTTGGCTGGTCCTTGGTTGGTCCTTGGCTGGCCCTTGGCTGCCCCTTGGTTGGTCCTTGGCTGGTCCATGGCTGGGCCCTTGGCTGGTCCATGGCTGGCCCTTGGCTGGTCCTTGGTTGGTCCTTGGCTGGTCCATGGCTGCCCCTTGGCTGGTCCATGGCTAGTCCATGGCTAAGCCCTTGGCTGGTCCATGGCTGGCCCTTGGCTGGTCCATGGCTGGCCCTTGGCTGGTCCATGGCTGGTCCTTGGTTGGCCCTTGGTTGCTCCATGGCTGATCCTTGGCTGGTCCTTGGTTTGCCCTTGGTTGCTCCATGGCGGGCCCTTGGCTGGTCCATGCCTGGTCCTTGGTTGGCCCTTGGTTGCTCCATGGCAGGTCCATGGCTGGGCCCTTGGCTGGTCCATGGCTGGCTCTTGGTTGGTCCATGGTTAGGCCCTTGGCTGGCCCTTGGCTGGTCCATGGTTGGTCCTTGGTTGGTCCATGGTTGGTCCTTGGCTGGCTCTTGGTTGGTCCATGGTTGGTCCTTGGCTGGTCCATGGTTGGTCCTTGGCTGGCTCTTGGTTGGTCCATGGTTGGTCCTTGGCTGGTCCATGGTTGGTCCTTGGCTGGTCCATGGTTGGTCCTTGGCTGGCCCTTGGCTGGTCCATGGTTGGTCCATGGCTGGCTCTTGGTTGGTCCATGGTTGGGCCCTTGGCTGGCCCTTGGCTGGTCCATGGCTGGCCCTTGGCTGGTCCATGGCTGGCTCTTGGCTGGTCCATGGCTGGTCCTTGGCTGGCCCTTGGCTGGTCCATGGTTGGTCCATGGCTGGCCCTTGGTTGGTCCATGGCTGGCCCTTGGCTGGTCCATGGCTGGCCCTTGGCTGGTCCATGGCTGGTCCATGGCTGGCCCTTGGTTGGTCCATGGCTGGCCCTTGGCTGGTCCATGGCTGGCCCTTGGCTGGTCCATGGCTGGTCCATGGCTGGCTCTTGGTTGGTCAATTTTTGGGCCCTTGGCTGGCTCTTGGCTGGTCCATGGTTGGTCCATGGCTGGCCCTTGGCTGGTCCATGGTTGGTCCTTGGCTGGCTCTTGGTTGGTCCATGGTTGAGCCCTTGGCTGGTCCATGGCTGGCCCTTGGCTGGTCCATGGCTGGTCCTTGGCTGACCCTTGGCTGGTCCATGGCTGGTCCTTGGCTGGCTCTTGGCTGGTCCATGGTTGGTCCTTGGCTGGCTGTTGGCTGGTCCATGGTTGGTCCTTGGCTGGCTCTTGGTTGGTCAATTTTTGGGCCCTTGGCTGGCTCTTGGCTGGTCCATGGTTGGTCCATGGCAGGCCCTTGGCTGGTCCATGGTTGGTCCTTGGCTGGCTCTTGGTTGGTCCATGGTCGAGCCCTTGGCTGGTCCATGGCTGGCCCTTGGCTGGCCCTTGGCTGGTCCATGGTTGGTCCATGGCTGGCCCTTGGCTGGTCCATGGTTGGTCCATGGCTGGCCCTTGGCTGGTCCATGGCTGGTCCTTGGCTGGCTCTTGGCTGGTCCATGGTTGGGCCCTTGGCTGGCCCTTGGCTGGTCCATGGCTGGTCCTTGGCTGGCTCTTGGCTGGTCCATGGTTGGTCTATGGCTGGCCCTTGGCTGGTCCATAGTTGGTCCATGGCTGGCTCTTGGTTGGTCCATGGTTGGTCCATGGCTGGCCCTTGGCTGGTCCATGGCTGGCTCTTGGTTGGTCCATGGTTGGGCCCTTGGCTGGCCCTTGGCTGGTCCATGGCTGGCCCTTGGCTGGTCCATGGCTGGCCCTTGGCTGGTCCATGGCTGGTCCATGGCTGGCTCTTGGCTGGTCCATGGCTGGTCCATGGCTGGCCCTTGGCTGGTCCATGGCTGGTCCTTGGCTGGCCCTTGGCTGGTCCATGGCTGGTCCATGGCTGGCTCTTGGTTGGTCAATTTTTGGGCCCTTGGCTGGCTCTTGGCTGGTCCATGGTTGGTCCATGGCTGGCCCTTGGCTGGTCCATGGTTGGTCCTTGGCTGGCTCTTGGTTGGTCCATGGTTGAGCCCTTGGCTGGTCCATGGCTGGCCCTTGGCTGGTCCATGGCTGGTCCTTGGCTGGCCCTTGGCTGGTCCATGGCTGGTCCTTGGCTGGCTCTTGGCTGGTCCATGGTTGGTCCTTGGCTGGCTCTTGGTTGGTCAATTTTTGGGCCCTTGGCTGGCTCTTGGCTGGTCCATGGTTGGTCCATGGCTGGCCCTTTGCTGGTCCATGGTTGGTCCTTGGCTGGCTCTTGGTTGGTCCATGGTTGAGCCCTTGGCTGGTCCATGGCTGGCCCTTGGCTGGCCCTTGGCTGGTCCATGGTTGGTCCATGGCTGGCCCTTGGCTGGTCCATGGTTGGTCCATGGCTGGCCCTTGGCTGGTCCATGGCTGGTCCTTGGCTGGCTCTTGGCTGGTCCATGGTTTGTCCTTGGCTGGCTCTTGGTTGGTCCATGGTTGGGCCCTTGGCTGGCCCTTGGCTGGTCCATGGCTGGTCCTTGGCTGGCTCTTGGCTGGTCCATGGTTGGTCTAAGGCTGGCCCTTGTCTGGTCCATAGTTGGTCCATGGCTGGCCCTTGGCTGGTCCATGGCTGGCTCTTGGTTGGTCCATGGTTGGGCCCTTGGCTGGCCCTTGGCTGGTCCATGGCTGGCCCTTGGCTGGTCCATGGCTGGTCCATGGCTGGCTCTTGGCTGGTCTATGGCTGGTCCATGGCTGGCCCTTGGCTGGTCCATGGCTGGTCCTTGGCTGGCCCTTGGCTGGTCCATGGCTGGTCCATGGCTGGCTCTTGGTTGGTCCATTGTTGGGCCCTTGGCTGGCCCTTGGCTGGTCCATGGTTGGTCCATGGCTGGCCCTTGGCTGGTCCATGGCTGGTCCATGGCTGGCCCTTGGCTGGTCCATGGCTGGTCCATGGCTGGCTCTTGGCTGGTCCATGGTTGGTCCATGGCTGGCCCTTGGTTGGTCCATAGTTGGTCCATGGCTGGTCCTTGGCTGGTCCATGGCTGGTCCATGGCTGTTCCTTGGCTGGTCCATGGCTGGTCCATGGCTGGCTCTTGGCTGGTCCATGGCTGGTCCTTGGCTGGCCCTTGGCTGGTCCATGGTTGGTCCATGGCTGGCTCTTGGCTGGTCCATGGCTGGCTCTTGGCTGGTCCATGGCTGGTCCTTGGCTGGCCCTTGGCTGGTCCATGGCTGGCCCTTGGCTGGTCCATGGCTGGTCCATGGCTGGCTCTTGGTTGGTCAATTTTTGGGCCCTTGGCTGGCTCTTGGCTGGTCCATGGTTGGTCCATGGCTGGCCCTTGGCTGGTCCATGGCTGGTCCATGGCTGGCTCTTGGTTGGTCAATTTTTGGGCCCTTGGCTGGCTCTTGGCTGGTCCATGGTTGGTCCATGGCTGGCCCTTGGCTGGTCCATAGTTGGTCCATAGTTGGTCCATGGCTGGCCCTTGGCTGGTCCATAGTTGGTCCATGGCTGGCCCTTGGCTGGTCCTTGGCTGCTCCCTTACATTTCCTTTTTAAATCTTTGTACTAAAATATTCTTTCTGTCATGATTTGTGGACATTAAGATCTAAAGAGAAGCGCCATCTCCTGGTCAGACCCTGTAAGTCACTGAAGGGGGGAGTCAGAGTAAAAACATGTGGGGGGGGGGGGGTCACTGCAGTGGCTGGAAGTGGGCTGCCATTCAGTTGGCGTTTGACTGGAAGAGTCATTTTGATTGGCTGCTACTGTCACTGATGCTGCAGCCTAAATTCATAGGCTGACGATTCACAGACCCGATTCTGAAATGGTCTTCTTTAGGGTCATCAAAAAAGATAAAGTAAATAAAATCAGAGAAGCACAGTGACTCTACCTCTAGACAAAATCCAAACTTTCTGCTCCTCCTCTTTAACACAGACTTCAGCTGTCTGTTGTTTTTTAAATTTTTTTTATTAGATGGATTCTGATTTATTATGTTTTTTAATCGTAGGTTTCAAAAAGCTGCCTTTAAGAAAATGTATGCACATTATTATTATTATAATGCTAAATG